TGAATGGTGGTATACTGGGGATGAGATAGTGCAGCCGGACGTGCAACACTTTTGCAAGTCTTGTTGATGGCAAATTCTCACTCATTGTAATGAGCACACACACGATGACATAATGGTCAAGGAATTCCAGGAGATCAAAGATATCCAATGTATGGGCTGGTCTACAAGGTTATCAGACTCCCAACAGAATAGAATTACAATGGAGTATATATATTATTTTGGAAATGGTGAACATTCTGAAATCATTTTTGCTCTTCCTTACTCAATTAGAAGGAGAAGGTGGAAGAATTGCGTGAAAAAATCAAGCAGAATGCGCGCGATAGGAAAAGTTATCGCTTATTTTATGAAAACCAAGTTGCAAAAATGTATGCAACTATAGTAACTCATAATTAGAGGGGCTTCTTTACGTTTTAGTTCACACAGGCAAGTGATGCTAGGCTTTACCTGTTCCAAAGAGAATTTCGGCGGTTGCCTTGGAAGGCCAGGCAATTTAAATGAAAAACTGAGAGGTTTGTTGCGTCATTGATTAACATGAGTGGTGGGGTGGGTCGGGCATGGGGCAGAGGGGGTGAAAGAAAAGGGAAGAGAGATATCATACGCCTGCAGGGCAAGGAATAACCCCTGCAGCTGCTGCAGAATGACTTGCAGGACGGTGTCGCGTTCGACTGAAGCACTCCCAGTGAAAACGATGGGTGCGGGAGCGGCGAGGACGACGGGAACGACGGCAGCGGCAGGCGCGACGGCGGATGCGGGCGCGATTCCAGGAGAGAGAAGTACGCCCGAGAGCGAGTGTGTGACAGCAAGGTAGAAACAGCTGCGACCTATGACGCAGGCGTAATGTCCTACGCCGGGCGAGCGGAAGGCGAGGCGGGGACGAGTTCAGTGAAAGATAAAAATTGACCCCCCTGGATCAAAATTCCGCTTCATAATTATTGTTAGGGACCTCGAAGGAGGGCCCAAGAACCACTTTTTGAGACTCTAAGGTCAAAGGTGTAGACAGGAAGTAGGGTCAAAGGGCACGATTTCGATGGGTCTCTTCAAAGGCTTTTATCTCCAGCATCGTTCCACGCAGAACTTTGGAATTAGGCTCATTCTCTTCCCTAGATTTCTTTCTAAACAAAGGTGTAAATTTTTTTATGAGGCTACCACGGGTTCAGGATGGGGAACGAATTTTGCTAAAATCTCGTCTCTTAGAGCCTCACGTTTGCCCCTCCCAAATCCGTCGTAAGAAACGCATAGAGAAATCCATGCATTCGATTTTGCCTCATGACCAGATGCATCTTCATGCAAAGTGGCGTTCGAATCTTTTAGATTGTTTTCGCGGGCCATTTGAAAATACGCTCGACAATCATTTGGACCCGGATTACTCGGGAAAGAATAAAAGATTCTACGATTTTTGTGCAACGATATTTAGAGACGACTGTCATGAAGGGCTCTGCCCAATTATATGCCAAAACATTAATAATTTTCAGATTTATTGATATAGTGATTTGACTGGTGTCAAGTCGGAGAATCCTGCAGGAATCAGTCACGTTTTCCACTGCATGCCTCCTCCCTCGCATAATACCCCAGCTTCCGCGCATCATGTGGAAGAATAATCCACCATTTAGGTGGTACTTCAATCGTCTTTCTAGGATTACGGGCAATTGAATGGTAGGACTTATCCACGTAGAAGTTTTTTTTTTCCGGCTAAAACATCATGAGCAGACGACGGGATTCACGCACATCCTCTCGCACATTCTCTCTCCTTATTCCCCATTTCATCCCCTCCCCTTCCCTCCAGACTCTCGTCCCAGGACGTGTCTGGCACTCGCTTTCTCGCCCGTCTCGCCGTCTGGACGTCTGACTGGAATAGGGACATGCTTCCCTTTTTCCCTTCTACCTTTTCGCTCTTTGAAATCCTATCCCCATGTAGAGTACTACATGCAGTCTTATTTTCACTGGTCGCATTCACGTTAGCTGTTCATGAGACTTTCATCTAGCCAGTTTTGCACATGAAAAACTGTGTCAGCCAGAAATAAAAATTTTACTTCCAATGATATTTATTTATTAATGCAATGGCTTTCTCCTCAACTGAACTACAAGCTTTGTTGCCAGTAGATGAGTGCTGTGACGTGAGTGCAGCTGTATGGAAACGCTGATCATTCGCGCTGCTAATATGACAAAAAAGTAAGGAGTATATTTTTCTTCCTGTCTCCGTTTTTCTAGCAGCCCTTAAGGGTGCAGTTTCTAAGTTGGAATGAGCATTTATTTATTCCATTGGTGCTTCGCCGGAAAAGAACGAGTACACTCCGAAGTGTACTCGAGACGCGTAGCTGAAAATCCAAATGCGAACATTTGACGCGTTCCCTGGGTAAATTTCTCGTGAAGACTATCCAGGAGAGGAGATGGAGGGAAAGGAATGAAATTCAAATCTTCCCAAAACGAGATTCAGCGATCTCCGTAACCCAGGAAAGATGGAACTTAAAATTTGCTGGAGCTATTCTGTGTTAAGAGGGAGAAAGAAGCATTCAAAATTTCGTTCCTGTTGATGCTTTCAAAGAAGAACAAAAGGAGGTTGAATTTTGCTACGGGAAGTGGTTGAAGAAAGGTAATGCGAGCCTCTGCGCCTATTGATTATTAACATGTTCATCCGTTCTCGCAGATCACTTAAGAACTCAAAGAACTATTTCTATCAGGTCCTTAGAAGGATTTGAAGGAGAGAAGTTAGGATGGGAGGAATAGTTCCTGAGAAACTTCTCCCTGCTCTCCTTACTGACTAATAGACTGCACTCATCCTCACAGGCGGGTCGAATTGAAAGCAGAGGATTGCCCTTAGACCATATAAGGGTGACCTTTCACCATGCAAGGTGCAAGAATAGCCTGGAGTCTGCTTGAATCAGGTAACGTCTCTCAAAATTTATTAAAATAACTTTCTTCCTTCTGCTTGTACAAGAGAAAATATTGAGTACGGTATGAAAGTATCTGCAGAATCATCCAGTACAATGTGAGGAATCGAGACGTGTATAGAAGCGAGCTCAGCGGGACCTCGCTTATATTTCGGAACATCATTTTTATTAAATGGACTACTAGATATCAGGCAAAATGGAAGGATACAATGGGAATTCCCGTCCTTCCAAGAATATCCAATGATAGACTGTAGGAAGTTGCCCTGCGAAGTTCCATTGTTGGATGACAAATTCCAAAATGACCTGACCCATCCATTCTTTCAAATGTCTAGTACTGTAAAAGATATCATGAACTGATCCAATCATAATGCTCCACAATGGATGTAATCATTGAAGGTACTACGTTAAGATCTTAGAAGAAACGAGGAAAAAAAAGAGCTCCAGAAATCACGTGATCAGATGTTCATGTCGCCTTCTCTTGAAGCTGTCATTATATAAATTTGAAATGATTGAGGGTAAGATGGAGGTATATTCTGCCCAGATGAAACAGGCGCTAGGAAAAGATGTCCATCTATGACTTCCTTTGAATTTCCCAAGGTTGACTGCTTTCCTGGAATTGTATCCATCTCTAGAAAATTGGACGGTTCATGGATGTGTTCTGGATCACCCATGGCTACTTGAGTTGCGATAATCATTCAATGCAATGTTCAATTCCTCCGATTTTATCTGTCAACTTTGAATGCTCATTTGATTTCATCTAATGCACATAATGTTCCATGAAAAAACTTTTTGGCAAACATTATGGGTGTTAATAATCAGGCCTAATGGTAATTAATGTTGGTAATATATGGAATGAGGAGATTGCATGATGATACGCAACAGCAAAATCTCGCAAGTGTGGACTTGGAAATCTGGAAGACGAAAATAACAATATACATGTATATATTAATTATTGTCAAGATTTTGGGATATAATGGTTGGCAACATAACTCACGTGCACATAACGGGGTCTTCAGAGAATGTATTTTGCATGAAATAAATTATTGTCTCAGTTTCAGAGGCAGCGATTCACCAGGTCCTCTGCAATGAAAGGAGATAAAGATTGGGATGGTCGAATGGGTAGGGAAGAACTCCCCAGCATGCCACACATACACTCCATATTATTGTTACGGTTCCGTGCGTGCTCCTCTACTGGTGGTGGGAATCACCACACTGTAGGTCAGGGCTGATACAAATCAGGGTTTATTAAAAACACAAGGCACAGCGGCCAAGATCGCACCAAGGGGATAAAAGGGATAAGACCACGTCGTTGAGCATTTAAGCTAGTACACAAACAATAATAATCAGCCAATCAATGATCCTGGAAGATGACGATCGGTATATCCACACCATGGGACGAAAGGGGTCAGGGAATCGGGAATGTCTAATCGCAAGGGGCAAGAGGTGTCACGGAATCGGGAATGTTTACTCCCGAGGGACGAGAAGGTTCAGGACGTCAGGAATGACTAATCCCGTAGTGTTAAGGAGTAGAGGCTCTTCGCCCGTGGGTGCTAAGCGGAAGGGACAGATAAGTGGACTGTAATCAGCTCTCTTCTCTTAATCGCCAAAAAAGGGGGGAATGGGAATCCTCACTCCTCAGGCGCGTGCGATCTTGCGGTACAGACCATCCTTTCTTGGCGCTTGGACGCTGAATTACTGGATTAAAATATAAGCATAACTCTGCCTCTAGTCTGTCAGTGCCAGACGGAAATGAAGAGGGAGGTGGTTCAGAACAAAATACATAAAGAGGGTTACTAAGAGAGACATCTCGATTGGGGTCAAGGGTCAGAGGTCAGGCGTGACACCTAGGGGGTCATGAATACACTGCGGTCTCCCTGGGCGTCTCATAGAGAGCTCTTCCCTCGCATACCTGCAGTCCTGCTAGGCCACTCACCGTGTCGTGCTGGCTGGGCCGTTACATTATTTTTATTGGTCAGAAAATTATTATTTTCATCCTTATTTCTTATTCACCTGCTCAACCATGTCTTCCAACATGAATAAGGATGACTGGAGATGGTGCACTGCATAAAGGATTTTCTTTTTCTCTCTGTATCTTTCCATGGAGTGTAAACAATGAGGTGGTAGATGTCATTACGGAACATAAGAATGAACTGCTCTTCTCTGCAATTATATTCTTCTCTTGCTTATCAAATCATGAACATATAACTCTAATTGTTTGGTAGACACAGCAAAAGATGAGTGTCCTACATGAGGCCGGTTTATTTATTGAGGAACAGCTCTCAGTGAGCTGCTCCAAGGGAGCCTTGGCGGAAATACAGGGATTCTCATTCATAGAGACATCACTAATATTTTTTATTGGGGAAGGGGAATGTTTATTCGTGTGCTTCTAAACGTCGACCAACTTTCTCCAAGCAGGTATGCAATCTGCTTACCGTTTCTGTCAACGCTTTGTTTAATATATGCAGTGTAAAGCAACTGCAACAAAGAATGATTCTGCCAATAACATTTCCCCCATAAGTAATATTTGGGATAAGTATAGATATTAAACAAACTGTAATCCACAAGGTGTCACGCTGGACATTCCAAATTTGATTCCAAATAAAAGAAAACCATTGTGAACATTCTCAATTCAATTATCGCCTTTGCAGCTACCTCACCATTTCATACTGCTAACCAAAGACTAAAAAGAACAGAATGTTTTCAGTGTATTTCAGAAATGTTTTAATTGCATGCCAGGAATGGAAGACCCTATCCCGGCGATTTAAACCTATCTGTGGAGTCAGGGTTTTATGTTGCGAGGAATGTGAACGTCATACTGTAATTCTGCATTTTGAGCGATGGAAACCACTCGAGGAAACTACAATGAGGTGTTCTCTTTGCGGAGACTGTGTGAAAGCAAGTTGCGACATATTCACAAATAGCCAGTATTTTATCAGGTATGCTTGATATTACTCAATTCAAGGCAGCAGAAGGGAGGCCCTGCTGAGAGCGACTCCACCATCCCCTGACGAGTCCGGTGCGAACTCTAGTCTACTCATCCATCCTGAAGACGGGGAGATGGGAGGAAAAACTTCGATTCGCTGTAGAAAATCCCCAAAGCAGCTTGATCAACTTTGCATTTCATTTCACAAGGTCATATCCTCCAATTATAAGGAAGCTACATGATTTAACCCCAAGTTCATATTTCGAAGCGTTCGGCCAGTAGAGCTGCCAAGCAAAAATCCGAACGCACAATTGTCGCTCGGTCTACCCAGCAGTCAAAGTCGAAAACGCGATGGGTTTGTCCTGTCCTCAAATTTGAAAACGGAAACATGCATATTTGCCTAGACAGTAATTCTGATAAACTCATGATAGACACATGCTGAGACTTCCTCATTCGCATTGGAATGTGAAGCCAGGGTTATCAAATGTAAGAAAAGGGTGACAGATTTAGATGCCATGAAAAAAGGGCATTCTCCCATGGACCTGATGGGAAGGGCAGATTACATAAAAGGGTGAAAAAAGTTCTTTTCTTGCTTACCTGGATTGAGCGGAGATAATCCTGCAATGTTCCGATCTAGGGCCCAAAGCAAGGGTGCAGTGTCACAGTCCCATGCAAGGTTTACCCTGCCTTGAAAAGTGATTTTGCTCACGGAAGAGATCTGCTTGTTTGCATATGCTTTAGGCAGGTTCTTCGCAAATATCCATGGTGCAGACTCTATGAAAATGAGACTGATGTAACAGAAATACCTGGCAAAAAAAAAAAAAATGGGAAGGGCGAGGGGTTGAAGGAGGTGTAAACTAAAGTTAAAAAATGATGACAAGCACAGACCCTTTCAAATTATCAAAGGAATGAAACAACCCTGACACTTTAGCATCCTGATTTCCATAGGCAATTCAAGAACCCAACCTTCATGGAAGTGTATTGGAAATCGTGGCAGATTCTTTCATTTAAGATGGAATGAAAGGATAAATATCGTATGAAAAAAGTGAAATGGTGTAATGTGATGTCAAACGAAACCTGTTTGGAGAAGAGGGTCCTTAAGGAAAGAAGTAAGGGGATAAAAGAGCAAAACAAAAAGGAAAGGGAGAATTTACTCACGAAAAACAAGATGCAGAAACATTAAATAAGAAATAGAAATCTTGTCCAGCCATCCACGGTGGGTGACGAGCATACAGTCACCTATTCCTCCTCTGTTTACCGGAGCACTGTGAATTCTGTTTGGAAAGGCTACTCCTTGTATAGGCTATCTCACATCTCGTCAGGACCAGTCAACCCCCCTCAACCCCCCTCAACCCATCCATACCTCGATCCATCCGATCCCTCCGATCCATCCGATACATGCGATACATCCTTTCCATCAGATCCATCCGATCCATCCGATCCATCCGATCCATCCAATCCATCCAATCCATCCAATCCATCCAATTCTTCCAATCCATTCGATACATCCGATACATCCGATCCATCCGATACAACCAATCCTTCCGATACAGCCGATACATCCGTTCCCTCTGACCCCTCCGATCCCTCGGATCCCTTGGATCCCTCGGATCCCTCGGATACCTCGGATACCTGAGATCCCACAGATCCCTTGGATCCCTCAGATCCATCCGATGCACAAGAGGCAGAATGTTGACTGGTTTTGAGGAATCATCCCAAACAAAAAGTAACCCTAGTTGCTGGGTAGGCATGTCTTGAGGTATGAAAGTCCCTGGAAAATGAAATATGATTTGCAAGATCAGTGGAATAAAATATTGTAAAATATGCATATGCACCTGTTATGAGCAAGAAGTTAAATTTTGCATAGAAGCAAGTGGAAGAAAGGGCTTGAGTGGGCCCAGTGAGGGGAAGTAGCAATCGGAGGAATGAATAGAAGAAATAGCAATGCTCCAGTTAAAGATATTTACAAAATATCAAAACTTTAATTGGAAATGTTTTCTCCACTACTTTATCCTAGGATTTCTTTCAAAGACCTTTGCTTCTGCATATTGAGTCTCATTTGTAAGATGTTTCAAATATGGTATGACCGGGAAGAGGAGGTACATGTAATACAAGTTATAAGAAAAATACTGAATTGTTGTACTTACATGAATTGCCTTTGGGTAAATCTGATAGAGACAGAAGAATAATGGGTCTCTTTACAAGATTTGCTGCTGCCTGAAGTAGAGGTAGACATTTGTCTTGACCATCTTCCCATTTCTCCAGGTTCTGTGTTCGCATTTCACAAAAAATGAATGAATTAATCACTATCCAAGATAATGGAGCGCCAAAGGCGCGACCATAGCGAGTCTCTTTGCCCTTGTGTGCTAATGCACACAAGGGCACTGTGTGCTAATGCACAATACAGTTCCTGGATCATTGGAGAAGTATCAAATTTATGGAGAGTCCACAAAATCTGCCCTTTTCCTAATCATATTATTGGTACAATGGAATAATGGATCGAGTTCACAGACCCTGTGTCGTTCTATTAATCTTATGTAGAATGCAATCGTCTAGTCTTTAGAAGGGGTTCTTTTAGGTACTGTGAGATTCATTTGGTCTGAAGGCCATGAATCTTTCTCTAATATTGGTATTAAAATGCGATGAGGTGTACGTCTTCTCTGATTCCTGTACTGTAACAATGCTATGTATACGAGGGCCACTCAATAAGTTATCTACGTGAATATGAAAGGGATGAGCAATAGGCATGTGCCTGCTGTGACATGTCTCGACAGGTCTTGTGAGTGCCCCGCCACTAGAGCAGCACAGTGGCTCAAGTCCTTTCAAAGAGGTAGCGCATTATATTTCTTTTCCCGAGTCTGTGCAATGGATTTGACGAAAGTTGAACATCATTCAGTGATCAAATTCCTCACCAAAGAAGGGAAAGCACCTAAGGAGATCCATGAACGTATGTCTAACGTTTTGATGTGTCTTTGCCTTCTTATTACCAAGTTAAATTTTGGAGCAAGCAGTTTAAGTGGGGAAGAGAGTCAAGACAAATGTCTACCTCTACTTCAGGCAGCAGCAAATCTTGTAAAGAGACCCATTATTCTTCTGTCTCTATCAGATTTACCCAAAGGCAATTCATGTAAGTACAACAATTCAGTATTTTTCTTATAACTTGTATTACATGTACCTCCTCTTCCCGGTCATACCATATTTGAAACATCTTACAAATGAGACTCAATATGCAGAAGCAAAGGTCTTTGAAAGAAATCCTAGGATAAAGTAGTGGAGAAANTGGTGATGAAACTTGGGTTCATCACTGAGATCCCAAAACCAAGCAGGAGTCCATGCAGTGGAAGCACAAGGGATTGCCAACGCCTCGCAAATTTTGTGTTCAGAAATCTGCAGGAAAGATTACGGCCACTATGTTTTGGGACAGCGAGGGACTACTGCTGCTTGATTTTGTGCCAGACAAGTGTACAATCACTGACGATTCCTATGCTACCACCATGAAAAATTTAGATGATGCCATCGAGGAAAAACGCAGAGGAAAGTTGTCAAGGGGGTCCTTCTCCATGACAACGCGCCCGTCCACAAATCATGGAAATTCGAAGCAATGATTTATCAATGTTCCTAAATTTCCAACTTCGATTGGCATTGGCAATACAGCCTATAATCAATTTAAATAAAATCATATGAAAAATGACAGCAGAATGAAGTTTATGTCTTAACAAGAGGGGAATTTACTGCATAAACAGGTTAACAATTCCAGTCCACACTTTTCGACTTTAACTCTCAATGACCAGTTGGATCTGGCTGATATTTGACAGAGCAGTTCATGAGATGGAGAGAGTTTCGCCTGATGGCGCTGTATCTCGATAGAGGCGTTGTTCTTGACCTGGTGACTGCTTTTGAAATTGGGGTAAAGCAGGGAATTAGCATATCGGCCTTTCGCAGGCCACCACTCATGATTTTTCCTTCCGGAAATATTCTAGACACAATGATAAGATATCATATTTCAATGCTTGGATGATAGAACCAAGAATATATATTTTTAAGACTTCAAAGACCATAACCTGACAAAAACTATGGACTTGCCTAATTTGAAATGGAGTCTCCCTATGAGCCTTTTTTGAAACACCATGTATCAAGATCCAATGAACTTAATAGACCCAAGAGGATTTCATGATCTCGAAGATTCAACATTAATTCACGTTTTCCCTCCGGTATTATAACATTTTGACAATTTCACCATTTTCATTCAACATTTGCTGCTAATAGATGTTTTCCATTCCATATGAAAAATCTAACAAAATTCACATTGTTATACATTCTGCATGACTAATGATTTAAGGACTTAGTTCACTAAATTTTGAATAATTCATCGACAGAGGAAGCAGAAGTTTCTTGCTACATTTCTCTTATGGAATATTTTCACTTTCATTGACTCATTCATTCAATGCTCAAGGATTCCACATCGTTTGCAATCGACAATTGTACTATTGGCAAATGTGGTTTCATGTTCCACATTCATTGATCCATCTTCTTCGCTACTTCTAGGCTTTGTAGGCGAGGTTCCTGAGGTCGAAGGAAAGAAGAATAAAGAAATCCTTAAAATCATAAGAGAGAAAGGTGTGGAGTGGAAAGAAAAGGAATTCCCCCCAGCGCCCCTGGATTTGGGACATAATAGGATGGGATCAGGAGTATTGGAAGCATTGTCTCTTGCCCTCACTGGCTCTCTACTCCATGTTCCTCTCCTTAAGGTCTTTTTCCGTCCCTTTCCTCTTCTTTTCCCCCAATGATAACATTGGGGAGGAGTATATTTTTATTGGAGAAAAATTCGATAAAAATTATTGCATGACATTTCGGGTGAGATATCCTGAAAGGAATATTTAACGGGCTTCAGATTTGACACAGGCAGAGCTGCAAAGTTCAGGTGGATCATTTTTAAGTTTCGACTGCATGTGTTACAAGGCATAGTTATGACACAAGTAGAAAACGGAGAACTTGGGAGCATTTGCACCAGTGCTTGCCATGAGGAATCACTCTTCGTTTATGAGCCACATCAGTTTTGTAAGAAGTTTGTCACTTGGGACTGACATAATCTAAGCCAAGGGCCCACAACTCATAAAAATATGAGCCCTGTTTGTGAATTTTACTCACATAACGTGGACCGCAGTCTGGCTGACCATGGCTATAACCAACAGGGCAGGAGTCACTTACGACGTCGCCAATTAAAGTGAGCTGCAAGCAAGGACCTTGCATGTCATATGTTGCAAACCCCTGATGTAACCAAACCTAACGTTCTCTTATTCATTCATTTCGTGGGAAGGGAAGGAACAGAATTAATACAAAAGGGGAAATATATGGTAATAACGGGTTTGTTTGTCCTTCAGGCAAACAAACTCGCTATGGTCGCGCCTTTGGCGCTCCATTATCTTGGATAGTGATTAATTTATTCATTTTTTGTGAAATGCGAACACAGAAGAACCTGGAGAAATGGAAAGATGGTCAAGACAACCCTCTACCTCTTCTTCAGGCAGCAGCAAATCTTCTAATGAGACCCATTATTCTTCTGTCTCTATCAGATTTACCCAAAAGCAATTCCTGTAAGTACAACAATTCAGTATTTTCTTATAACTTGTATTACATGTACCTCCTCTTCCCAGTCATACCATATTTGAAACATCTTACAAATGAGATTCAATATGCAGAAGCAAAGGTCTTTGAAAGAAATCCTAGAATAAAGTAGTGGAGAAAACATTTCCAATTAAAGTTTTGATATTTTGTAAATATCTTTAACTGGAGCATTGCTATTTCTTCTATTCATTCCTCCGATTGCTACTTCCCCTCACTGGGCCCACTCAAGCCCTTTCTTCCACTTGCTTCTATGCAAAATTTAACTTCTTGCTCATAACAGGTGCATATGCATATTTTACAATATAATCTTGCAAATCATATTTCATTTTCCAGGGACTTTCATACCTCAAGACATGCCTACCCAGCAACTAGGGTTACTTTTTGTTTGGGATGATTCCTCAAAACCAGTCAACATTCTGCCTCTTGTGCATCAGATGGATCTGAGGGATCCAAGGGATCCGAGGGATCTGAGGTATCAGGTATCTGACGAATCGGAGATATAGAATGTTTCGGATGGATTGGATGGATCGTATGGATGGGATGGATCGGATGTATCGGATTGATCGGAGGGATCGGATGGATCGAGGTATGGATGGTTTGAGAGGGGTTGAGGGGGGAATTCAATGTCGTTAGACGTACTTGACTTCTGGTGCAGTATTATTAGGAAGACAATGGTTCAATAATTTTCAATCACTTAGGAATGAGTATCATGCAGTATTCAAATAATTTTCTCTAGATTTGTTCATTTGACAAGTGGCTGAACCATGGAAATTAATTCAAGACATTGGTCTACTCTCCTCAAGAGACATATTCGCTTGTCGAACTCTTTTCTAGCACAAGTAAGAGTTGTGGTAGCCGTTTCATTAACGGCGTGACTTTTCCGATATAGGGATACTTTAGCGTTCAATATCATCTGAACTTTTTGGGCAGGGCTACAAAGTTAAGAATTCCAGCTTAGGTCAGAGGTCATCATGCATGATGCTTTGCAACAAAATCCCAGTCGCACATGCAACCACATCTTCAATTACTTGAGTCAGAATGCTGCATATGTTGAAAGGATCTTGTGATTCGAAAAGGTTTTGATGGATTACAAAACAACTTCTCCAAAATGTTGCATATCAGTTGCGGAATCATTGATCTTTCCATAGTATTTCCTTGAGATTTAAATTTTGGGGGGTTCATGCTAAGTTACATTTTAAGGTACTAGGGACTCCGAAAAATCTACCCTCCTGGATGGAAAATCTGTTCTGTAAATGTTGCAGAGTACCTCAAGGAAGACCTCTGGAGCCCCTCACTCAGGTCCTCACGTGAACTGCATGGCCAGAAAGTAGGGTCAAAGGTCACGGCAGACCCACTCCTCTTCGAAAGTCAGTATCTCCTCAACCGCTTCACCTAAATGGCTGAAACCTGCACCATTCTCTTAGTCTTAAATAGAGCTTTCAGAAGAATGTAAGATTGATTTAATCAGTTTGTTATTACGGGCGTGGTAACGCGAAAAGCAATTCCCTCGAAACCTTTATACCTCCATAACTTGCGGAAAAATCAATGAATCTGAAAAAAGCATGAGTGAGTTCATGCTTTTCCTCCTGCTCTATATTTGTGGGAATTTTCATTAAATTATCCCTTTGCATTACTCAGGAAAGTACGAAAAACTGCTCGAAAACTTCCCGTTTTCTGCTTCTGGCGCGTTTTTATTGCGAACCAGCGAGGTTGCGAAAGGGACACTTGATAACGAAATTGTAGAAACAGTTTTTGTGAGTGGTTTCCCCAAGTTTCACAGCTCTGTGAGAGTTCTTTTTTTATCCTTACGGTTTTAAACTGACTCAGATCATGAATGTCTGGGGATTGCGGTTAACTATCACCTCATCTGCCTTGACCCTCTGTGATTCCTTCAAAATTGCGGTTCGCATTCAAAACGGGAATGTCTGAGAAGTTATTTGGCACATGCATTATTTGTATATTCACATGTAACACTGAATGGGAAGGAGTTTTACTTGAAACGTTTCGCGATTCCGCCGTGGCAGACGACACCCTCACGCTCGTTTCCCCTCAATGCCCCTTCCCTTGCTTCACCCGCATTTCACGTAGGTGTTGAGGCTAGCTGAAGGGTTTTTGGGTCCCTGCTCGTATCCGTGGGAAGGCGTCAGACTGACCCCCCTCTTCCCCTTCGTTCGCTAATCCGGGGCTTGGAAATATATCCTTTTAGAGAGCCTTCTCCTCTCTGTTCATGCATACAGGGTGTCCCATTAGTCAGTATACCATTTCAAGATGCAATATTTTCCGAACTGTGAAAAGCATTAATGGAAAGAACATTCTTTACAGGTTTTTTTTCACGATAATGACTTGACAACAGACTCAAATCGATATTGTTCCAATGCATATTAGAAATACGTAACTATTTAGGAGGATTCATTTTACACATTTTCCAATCCTCTTTTGCAAAAATTCTTCTATTATGTTTTTTTTCTCCTAAATTTAGACATACTTGAAAAACTGAAAATTTAATTGTTTTCATATTAACTTTTGCTTTCATAAGAAAAGGCTTCGCAACTGATGCTGGAGGAATGAATACAAGTTTTCACCTGGTCTTTGAGAGTCCCATCAGAGCTCAAAGAGGCGAATTTTTTGGTGCCATGCCTCATATCAAATGTATTGATGGATGATCGGAGGGCATTCTGAGGGAGTTTCAAAACCCAAAATTGCTTCCATTTTTGAGAAAAGTAATTCCAAATGACATGTTATCACTCAGTTAATGCTACTTCCTTTTTGTGCTAACTGTTTAGTAGTTGTGATTTTTTAAAATGGTATAGTGACTTATGAGACACCCTGTAAAATGGATTCTTGATTTGTATATTCGTGTGTCTGTACGTCCACCAGAGCCTCCTTGGTCCAATTTTTTCGAACCCAACTCGAACGGCCCGATTCGAAGTATTGCCCGAGCCCGACCTAAAACTCGTTCTTTACGCGCCCGAGCCGGCGTGCCTTTTGGGCCTATCGAGCATGCCCGCAGCCCGCACAGACCTCTAAGTTTTAGAACTCGAGGTATGCATGGATTACTCCCTTGCATCTGACCGGAAATCGGATTGCCAACCGAGCTGCTGGCCCATCCTTGGGTCGGGTCGATCATATTAAGCCGATCCGCATCTCGTATATAGGGGGATAGAAAGGATGATCTAATACCCGGCCTTTGAAATTTGAACGATGTCTCACTTCAATGCTCTTGGTCGGAATTCGAGGAAAATCGACACAACAATGACACAACACACCACCTATCATTAATCCAAAGCGTGACCGTTTCATGAAGGAAAATGGGATCTCTTTAGATTGTTACTGGATGGAACTCCTTGGAAATGAGTCCGGTGCGTCTCGTTTGAATATTATGGACGGAATTCCCTTAAAGTTGGTATATAATTTTATTCTTTTCGCTGGAGAAATGGGGGAAGGGAGTTATGGGACGGTCCAAATGATATCGATTCGAAATATGAGCGTGCAAAACGCCGGCAGAGCCGGCGTTTTGCCGGTGTCTCATTTCAATGGGATGTTACGGAAGTCGATTAGTCTCTATTAGGAGGTCGAAAATTTATTCAGGGGTGACAGCAAGCGATTACAAAAAAAACTCACAAGAACTGAAGAAACAAATTGTTAACTTTATGAAAATGTTACCAAGTCGTCACCTTCCGCAAAGAGACAATAGAGCTAAATGCGATACGTCGAGTTCAAGAATTTTCAGATCTGCATATCTCAATTATTTCAGCGCGTTCATAGAAGCCAACTGGTAGCTAGAAAAATTATCAAATGATGTTGCAAATTAAAGCGTACATCCTGGCAAGACAAAAAAACCCACACAAGTAGCATGGGATAATGACAAGGATCGCAGTTGATTCAAGATGGCAAATACGGGAGGCTCTTGTTGGACCTCCGGTCATGCTAGCATGATAATGGCACAGTGGATAATGGCAAAAGCTATGATTGAGGAGGGAAGGAGAAGGGTCTATCATGTCCTGCTGCTCTTCGCAGGAACTAGGAGATCAAGATACTGTTTCAGAGATTGAAATCTCATGGAATCTTAGTTTTATTGGAAGCTTGAATGAAAACTCTCTCTCTATTCGGAAAGAAACTCTAAAAAATAACATTCTTGAAAGAATATGGAAGTTTTTTTTTCTCCATGAATGAGTCATTCCAGTATGCATGAGCTAGTTCTTGCTCGTTTAGGCTTCAAACGTTTCATTATTAGGGAAATATTAGTATTACCGTATTCTCATATTGACTTGCTGTTTTCGTTGAAAAATGCCGTTTCACTTCATGCAAATCCAGTAATTTTATGAAGCGAACTATTCTTAAATTTACATACCCTTCCAAAAAAAAAATAACCATGGGAAGGGGGAAATGATCCAGGGTGTGCTGAAAGTTTTGTATGTGGCCATCTTTCCATGCTGGTCTCACCACATTTTTAGGGATGGATGCTGTGCTCGTTCTTTCTAAGATCCTAACCACAACTGCAGTGCAGATTGAACTCCCACCAGATGCACAAGTCATTTTCACGTGACAGAGCTGCGAATAACTTTCCTAGCAAATTTTTGCAAATTATAATCCTAATGGGATGTCTTAGAACGCCTACCAATGTACTGCTGACTACTGATCGATCGCTGGCTGATCGAAAGGGAAAAAAAAGGATAATTCAGGTTGTTACACATGCAAATAGGCAAGGATATTGAGAAGAAAATGTGGATTTGTATCTCGCAGCAGCAGTCGTATGCCTGTTCACTAAGAATCTTGTGCATTTTAATCCAATCTGCTGTAACCCAAGAGTGGGTAGTCAAAGACACATGAAACGTCATTCACATGCATCACCTTTTCAGATGATGTAAAATACACATCCAACAACGTCCTGGTAAGTTTTCATGATGATCCATCCACAATAGCTGTATTTTAAACAAAAATTTTCAAATGTGAGTTCTCTCTTCGAAAATCGCATCCCTATTGGCTTAGCTTTTGTACCAATTTTACAAAATATGCTATAAGTCAAGCATTAGTTGTCGCAAGCGCATGAACTTTTACAACCTCTTGAATAACATATTTGGCAAGCGTTGGATTAAATTTGCAACTCAATAGATTGAAAATAACGAATTTTGCAGCGAAATTTAAAGTTGCTTACTTTTTTGGCCAACCCTGATCGAGCAATCTCGCTTGAACGCGCCAGCGCGGCCTGAGTGACGAAGTCATGTACCACAGGAGAAGGTATGGTGTTGGGATCACACTCTCCTTCATAGTGAACAGAGTTATATCCAAAAGGAGAACAATTTTTCAGATATAACTAGGAAGATAATCTCCACTGCAGGCCTTGAAAAGTGGTGTTTTTCTACGGGATATGATGTACCAAGTACCAAATCACAGACCCGGGTCTCCTCAACCTTTTAATTGCAACACTGAATGCATTACTTGTTTCTCAGATTGAATTCATACCTCCCTCTCTACGGGACAGGGTTGCGGAGATTGAAGAAAGCGCTACTTCCTGAGAATTCTCTTTATAAGATTATTTGAAAAACCATACACATGGAAGGTGTCACAACCTGCTTTCCTTTTTTTTGCGGGCCACCTTTCTTGAAAAGACATACCGCATATAATACCGTTATTTTGTGCGTTCGGGCTTGCGGAGTCTGTCTCAAACTTTCATTCTATGATGATACCTGTAAAAAAAATGGGGGTGGAAACGTTTTTCCTAAATAACCAAATTGAGAACTTCAATTACTGTAATCTCCACAGAAGGTTGGCCCCTAAGAGCAATTTCAGTTTTCCTCAGGTACCTGTGGCCTGGGGCGATTGAGACATCACATCCTAAACAATGATCTCATAATGGAAGGTGGAAGAGGTCCAAGTTCCCTCCTAAAATCCTATCTACTGCAGCGAAAGACTGTAGTTGATGCTGGCTAATGATCTTTTTCCATGCTCTTCCATGCTCTTTTCTTTCTTCGGGCCATTGTCCCAGACAGAAGGGGATACGAATTTTAAAGTTCCCTTCGAAAGGTTCCATGAAGTCCGAGAATGAGCAAACGTTGGAACCAAGGCATGCATGAATTAACCCTTTAGGGGTAAAAGTCATTGTAGGCTTTGCGATGATTCTTGATTATGCCATGGCGTTTTGCAATGCTTGTACACTAGTACCTGTAGCTTGTGGCATAGGGAAAATATGCTGTATTCCCATGACCATAAGATTCACTCGAACCCATTGGCAATCATCACTACCGACTTCCGGTACGGAAAGGCAGGATATGCCTCTGTGCAGCACCCATAGTTTCATTTTTCAAGTCATTTAGGCTAATTAATAAATGACTCTGCTTAACGTTGCTACTTGTGCAATTGCGTCATGAGTTCTGAGCACATTAGTCAATACTGTGAAAATTCTGTACATGAATCCTAAAGGCCCAAGAGGGGATCTTGTAAATTAAAGAAATTCCTTGTTATCCCAAATGACTTCTTTAGAGAATGCAATCTAATTCTCCGACTTTCGGAAGATCTCTGAAATTGCAAAATGTGGCTTACCCTCCTTATCATCCTTAGTCCTTAATTTGTACCATCTATATGGGGGGAAACGGATGCTCGAATATACCGGGGGAATGTGAATGCACGAATTTTCATGGTATCATTCTTGAACCAGAGGCAGGAATTCGCTCAGGCTATGGATCTATGATTTGCCTCTAACTGTTCGCACATTCCCTTCTTATGCAATCACCTTTCTGCTTTGCAAGGCATGCTTATTTTTTTTACTGTTAGGCAAATTTTATGTTTCTTACATTGGAGTAACTGGTCAGAAGCTTTTATTTAGATGGCAATTAGTGAACCTCAATTAGAAAAAAAGATCCATTTAGC